ATTTCGGCATCAACCATATGGTGCTGATTCTGTAGGAATGCAGGATTCTTGTGTTAAGGGGTCATGGAGGCTTTCACTGAGATTTCACAGGAAGGCTTGGAAGGCCAGGTAAAGTGTAATAGGGTTATAATTCCTGCAGGCTGGCATTTGAGAGAGTGATGTGTGAAGATGTGAAGGTAAGGTCAAAGTCCAAATAGATATCCCAGAAATTAAGATATGCCAGCAATGTGGACTGTCTATCAATTAAATCTGCTGGCTGTGAGGAGAATCAGGCTAGATGAGAGCCTAGGTGCACTGCAACCAGCAAGGTCAAAGGGGTGGGACTGCCTAAGCCCTTTGGAGAGCATATCTCACAGCCATGTGTCCTAGATGATACATGTGAAGTTATGGGACTTTTGTCTAACTGGGTTTTGATTACATTTGGTCCTATCCCTTCTTTCTATTTCTATGCCTCTATTCCTCTCTTTTGGAATGGGAATGTTTATCCTGTGCTCCTGTATGTTGGATATCTGTAACTTGCTTTTGAGTTTCACAGGTGCCACAGCCAAAAGTTTGCCTTGAATCTCACTGGAGACTTTGGACTTGGACTTTTGGGCAACACTGGAACTGTTAAGACTATGGGACTCTTGGAGGTGGACTAACACATTTTGTAAGATGGACATGAGCTTTTATGGGCCAGGGATGGAATATTATGGCTTGGATATGAAGAGTCCCCCCAAAGTTCCTGTGTTAATGCAAGAATGTTTGGGAGTGAAATGATTGGATTGAGAAAGCTGTAACCTAATCGTTCCATACTAGTTTGAATGGAAAAACAGAACATGGTTGGATATGGTGGGTTACTGGGTAGAGCATATGTGTCTAGGAAGGTGGCATCGTCCTTATGGTCCCTTCATGCTTCTCATTCCTTTCTGGCTTTCCCTGAATATTGCTTCCTGCCTCCACAGAGACATTCTACCATGATGCTTGGGCCCAGAGTTATGAAGTCAACCCACCATGGACAGAATCTTCAATACCATGAGCCAAAATAAACTTTTTCTCCTCCAAGTTTCCATATTATGCGTGTTTTATACATGAAAAAACTGAGTCACAGTCAGGTCAAATAATGTGACTATAGTTACAAAGTGAGGATATTAGAGCCAAGGTTTGAACAGTGTGGCTAAAGGTTCTATGTACCTAATTGCTATAATTATTGTAAATAAGTAGAGATAGTTGAGAAAAAAAAGTATTTTTTTCCTTTACCTGTCTAATATTCTCAGAGAATCTAACAGAAGTCTAACAGAAGGCAGATTTATAAGAGAAAAGTATATTAATCTGTTTGATGTAAGTTTTACATGACAAAGGACACTTTATAAAGAAATATGAGCTAACTGTAAAAAACTGGGGAACACTTTTGCAAGGCCTCTTCATTCAGATTCCTCTTCTTTGGAGATAAGGATGGTCATTTCTACCAGGGATATAAAGGGTATCTCTAATATAAGGATCTTATGGCTTGTTTCAGGGAAGAAAATTGGAGAGTTCTTCCAGCACCTGACATTTCTTAAATTCCTTCAGCTATATTTTTGAGTAGGGTGTCCTGAACTCCACCAACAGAAGACATCAATTTTTAAAAGCTGATAATGGAAGAACGATAAAAAAGACTTTAAGACTAAGGCTGAAAACTCTGAAAGAATCTAAATGGCATGAGCTATTTCTTAAACAAGAAATAAAAGAGAATGTTAAAGATTACTAGTGTATTTTAAAATAATTTTGAATGAAAATAAAATACATTGGCAGGAAAAGACAGAAAGTTAGGGTAAAGAAATAGAATCACAAATGTTTGTGATATGTTTGGGAAAGTAACAAGGCAAGTAAGTAAAGAATTTAGTAAGAGAAAATTTATGTAGACATTTTAGTTGTAGGGATGAAAAAATAATTGTTTTTCTTCTACGCTTCATAACAAAAGACATATTAATAAGAGAAAAACAAACACTTTCATCAATGTGTATCACACATGTAACACAGAAATACCACAGTCACATGTGTATCACACCTGCAACATGGAAACAGCATGGGAGTAGCAAGGTGTGAGTAGCTCAAAGAGGTATCTTATAATTCCATCTTATCATTGCATCTTCAACAAACAATAAATTTTTAGAGTAGTGACTTGACAAAAGAAAAGAACAAAGTCCCAAGAGGTAGCAAAACTGTGGGCAGGTAAGTATGTGAGAAATTAATGGTCAATATGTGCCAGTTGGTAAAGTTTGGTATGTAGATTTTCTGAAGCCATTCTCAGGCTGATTAGGATTAAAAGTCTCCCCAATGATTAATTTTTGTCCATCCTGGTAGAGAGGGGAGGTGGAATACCTACATAAATTTACGTCCTACTTAAAGACAGGTGAGGGCTGAGAGCTTTTCTAGCTTTTCTGTTATCTTCTCTGTTATTCTTTGTTGAAGAACAATAGAGAACTATAGAATGTACTTATATATACAGGTACATAAATATATATTTATGTATTAAATGTATACTATATATGTATATATGTGTATACATACACACACACATAAAATTTGTATAATAAATATGATTAACTTTCATTTTTCTCAGTAACCAAACAACTTTCTTATATTTTGGTCTACAAAAAATTAAAATAAATAAAATCTTCTGAAGTCCCTTGAGTTCCACTGTAGGATTTCTAATTGTCTGAGAATTCTTTGCAGCTGAATGATTCCTGAGAGTGTTCTGTCAGGTGGGAAATTTAACACTTAATCTAAATTCCAATATTTTAACAAATATACTGTGCTGCATCTCTAAAATATATGATTTTGTAAACATGTACTAATATGATGAAATTATAACTGAGTATATTTTTCATATATTATTACCACAAGCATGTTCACACATAAGTAAACTGCATTGTTACGTTATGGTGTAGCAGTACTACATGGCTAAAGTACAATTTGCAGCTAAAAGTATAATTTCCTTGAAGATACAAATAAATGATTAGTGGGTTTTAAGTTAGGTAGGATTTTATCTCCAATAGCTTTTGATAACATGGAAGAACATGAAAAGAGATATTAAGAAAATGGGAATATAGATTTGATCCTTGGCTTTAAATTCATAAATTTGGTTTTTTAAGTGTTTAAACCTAACTAAAGACAAAGAGTTTGACTTTATGAGCATTTAAAACAGGGGTTCCCAAACTAATCTTCACATTGGAATCAGATAGGACATTTCAAAATATGCCGAGGCCCGTATCCCAACCCCAAAGTCATAATTAGTCTGGAGTGTAGAATAAACTTTGAAATTTTATGAGACCTCCAGGTGATTATAATATAAAACAATGTTGGGGCTCAGAAAATAATATCCCAAAGCATGGAAATTTGGCATCCTAAATACTAAAGGACATAGAAGACTGAGAAGCAGACTCAGAACAAAGTCTTTCTGAACTTCTCCTACCCTCCTATCTCTGACTCTTCATTCTCCCAATAAGTCACAGACCAGAATTATTCTTCCCTGAGGCAGTTGACAGAAACTAGAAACCCTTTTCCCCAAAGCAGACCATAAAGCTTAAAACATATTACTTTAACCTTCTCCACTTTAATAACTAAAGGTGGAGAAGCTAACAGCAAAGAAATTCTCTCACTTACCTTGTGTGTAGTAGATCATAAGACCCTCATTCCAAAAAGGGTCCTACCTTACACCAAGGAAGAAAGAATGCCAAGAAAAGAGGCTAAGAAGAATATGAATACACACATCTTGCCTTGTAACTCCCCTTTGGTTTATTATATTAGACTATAACTTTCAGTATAATCACATCTCTATGTAACTATTTACTCTTCATCTAATCTAAGCATAAAAATGGAGTTTTACATGAGTCTTCGAGTCTTCAGTCTGAAGGCTACCTTATCATGTAAAACTGATTAAATAAACTATTATGTTTTTCTCTTTTTTAATATGTCTTTTATTATAGGAATGTCAGCCCTAACCCTTATTATGGATGAGGTATGGTATCATACCATTTTGCCTTTATACTAGTTTGGAAATATGTTTCAAAAAGTTTTCAGTTGTCCATGATTAAGAAAACTATTCACAGTCTTTTCAAATCTAAACCAGAACCACTGCTGTAAATTTAAAAACGAAACAAAAACTATGAAAAATAAAGGGAAATATATGCCATTATGAAACAGGCATTTTTAAACTATAGCAAATTGGATAAATCGCTAGCAATTCTGGCAAAAGTGAACTTCCCTATTGCCTAGGTATAAAAAAGAGGTATTGTCTCATTGATCTGCCTTTGTGCTTCAAGTGTATATAAAAGTATAGCCAAGGATAAGAGAAATAAATAATACAGATTTTTAGTATTTTCCTATTGCTATTTACTAAGGGTTAAAAAATTTAAGGAGTAGGAATTTTTATAACTTTTAAGAAGTAATTTTTAATGACCATTCAATTAAAGTTAGTACAATGACTTTGCATAATACATACATAAAATAATTAGTGAAGATGGTTCTTAATTTAAAGGATGTTAAACAGCTTGTAGACATCTGGTAACAAGCTGAAATGGGTCATTCAAAATTTATCTAACTAAATTAGGGGGGGGGAAATGTTTCTCCTCCCAGGTTGGCATGTCACAAGATAACTAAACTGACTTAGTAGGCTTGCCTGGGAATCCTTAGCTGTCAGTGGTGAATATGCAAAGGGCCAGCAAATTAAATCAACCTGCCAAACTGTCAATTTCAAGCCTCATGACTGCATGAAAATAGCATCACTGGAAGAAATCAAGCATTGCCTTCTTTTGGGTTTCCTGGCACCTATTCAAATACTCATGCAGTTGTGGCTAATTTTGCATGCAAATTTCAGTCAATAAGCTCAGAACAAGACCTCCCAAGATATTTCAAAGGATCTGACAGTATTTTTTCTGAATACCAAATCGACAGTAGTTGAAATTCAATCTCCATTTGCCAGTGCTTTACATATGCACGGTGTCCCCACCACAGAGCTAAGTTAATGAGAGCCTTACCTGCTTTCACTCACATCCTCCCAGCCGTCCTTGCTGAGGTTCTCAAACACATTGCTCATAACCTTGATGGAGTGATTGAGAACAGTGTGGTGACGACCCACAGAGCACTTTTTCTTGGCAGCTTTAAATTTAACCTTGGTCGTGGTTGTCTTACAATCATACTGTCCAGATCTCCCTTCTGTGGTGGCCATCTTTAATCCAGCTTTGTCTGCTGAATGGTGCAATTTCATCAGCCCTTCATTTTCTTTTCTCAATGCATTAGCTTCTGCCACTTGTTTCCTTAGGGAAGCGACTTCTCTCTGTAGCTCACTGATTTTTCCTTGAAGTTCAGTTTTGTCTTTTTCAACATCTTCACTTTTCTTTCGTAACTCTTCTAACTCTTTTTCTCTGGTCTCCACATCTTCTTGATGCTGTTTTAAGTGAGATTTCAGGAAATAATTTTCTTTCATTAATTTTTTATTCCCTTCTTTTAATTTTCTTGACCTTTTCTCAAAAGATTTTAGCCGATTTTCCAACTCAATGACCTAAACAAAAGAGTTTAATTTACCTTTTTAAATAAAAAAACATAATTACTGTATTTTTATTCTCATTTCTAACTAATGAAAGAAAAATTACATTGAGCACAAGGATAAAATAAATCTAAGGTACTTAATTTCTAAATAATTCTAAGGTGGTATAGATGAATACATTCAAAAATGCAATAATACATCTGTTGAATATAGGACAGATGGTAAAAGAAGTTAACATTCTATACAAAGTGACACAGAACTAAGTATGCTAATAAACTGCAGAGTTTTCTAAGACCATAAACGCTTTGAGTATATATTTCACTCATTATGAAAAAAAATATTTTCAGAGTAAAACAATTTATACAGAGTATTAAAACAGATATATGAAGAAACTCTATTAGTAAATAACATGTATCATATGAAAAAGTGATGACTAAATACAAAGCAGCCTATCACAGCTGCTGTTTTTCCAAATCAGAAAAAAATGTAATTATAGTAGTTGTGGCAACTGTGGCCCATGATACAAAAAAAAAAAAATCACCAAAAAAGTCTAACAAGTTAAAATTATAGTGATTTCAAGGCTGCATGAATTAATTTTTCCATTTATTTAAATAAATATGATTCATGTTTTAAGACACGGCAATGGTAAATACACTTCCTGACCTTAAAGAATTTCAAAAACTACAATTTGCATACCTAAACCTAATAAAGGATATGATCTAAATGCCATAACTCTGAGCATCAAGGAAAAAATAATTAATTTTGATTTAAGAGTATATAAATTTCATGGAGAAGTTGACTTAGATTAAGATCTTGAAAAATAAATAACAAGCCCTACTACCATACTGCACTGCAAAATCACTGAACATTTTATGTCAAATTAAAAAAAAAAGTGGGGTATGACCATTATGTGAAGCTTTTAAAAAAATGGTACATCAAAATCATTTATTACTAAACTGTCTTTGGTACAGAATGCATAGAATACTTGGATATTTACATAAATGCAGTGGTGATTATGTGGGAAAACTTACCTATAAAGTATATTTTACTATTTGTAAAACAGTTTCATAAACATGATCTCTCCTTATCATCTTAAACACATGAGGTAAATAGAGCCATTGATTATCTTTCCAGAGTAGAAAACAGACAGCAAAGAGAGAATCTGAAAACTTTAATTACATATAGAGGTAAACATTTTCTACTTTGAACTGGAACTCACATTCAGAATTTTGTGCCCCTTTCCACTATCCTATAAGCCATCTAAGAAGAGTTACTTAAATATATATGGAAAAGGAACAAACAATTAAGCCAGGAAAGAACTGAAGATAAGCAAGAAATCTAAATGATTAAAAAACTACACATACTCATATTTATTTTAAAAAAATCTGTGGAGATAATATTTTCCCTCTCTACACTGTGTGTGTGTGTGTGTGTGTGTGTGTGTGTCTGGGAGAAGCATTTTTGATAACTTTGATAGTTTGAATACTTGATCCCTCCAGAAATTATGTTAAAACCTAATTTGGAATAAGGGCAGGGCCCTCATGAGTGGGAATAGTGTCATTATAAGAGACCCTAGAGGGCTAACTTGCTTCTTCTATCATGTTAGGAAATAGCTAGAAAGCACCAACAGAAAGAATACACGGAATCTGTGGACACTTTAATCTTGGACTTCCAAGACTCCAGAACTGTGTGAATAAATTTCCATTGTTTTTAAATTACTCAGTTTATTGGTATTTAGTTATAGCAGCTTGAAGGGACTAAGACAACAATAAATGATGTGAATTAACAATATTCCAGAAACGTACAAGATAGCCAGGTGTGTTGGGACATGCCTGTAATTCCAGTTACTTGGGAGGCTAAAACAGAAGGATTGCAAGTTCAAGGCCATCCTTGACAATTTAGTGCAAACCTGTCTCAAAATAAAAATAAAAATGTTTAAAAAGGACTAGGGATGTAGCCCTGTGGTAGAGCATACCTAAGTCCACCCCCGAATAAAAAGGAATATATAAGATAAAACTTGTACATATTCTTAACATTTGCCAGTTTAGTGAACTCTATAATGGTGAATATATAAAATTGTTTTCCAAACACAAGTTTCAGGTCATCTTTGATTTATCCATCCTGTTATTCCCCCCTATTTTTATTGTGAGTTCAACTAGCTTCAAATAATTTGAACAGTCATTTATTGACTAGCTATCCTACTCTGGAGCATGGGGTATTTATCAACATAATAAGAAGAATCTCATCTAATTTTAGTCCCTTCATTCCACAGTATGATATGGCCCTTATTAGACCTTTTCTTGACTGAGAGTAGTGGTTATACCAGACTATTACATATCTTTGTGTATATCTATGAGAGAGATTATGTTGTTCCTTCTCAATGCAATTACTCTATTGGAGAGCAGATTAGTGTGACAAAAAAAATAGTGTTCAAGAAAATATAAACTCTGGCTGAATCCTTGTTACTTCTTCCAAATCACTCTATCTTCAATTTTTATTCCCACTTTAATAAAATATGCTACAGACAAACAAAAATATTACCTTTATACTCTCTCCAACTTCCTTTAGTAGGGCTTTAAAGACTACACCAAACAATATACTTCCATAAATGCATTTTAAAATATTTTAGGATGTCCACGGTAGGGTACGTAGAATGAATTCTATTTTTAAAAACCACTATTTTGTACAAACAATCAGCTGCACTTAAAATACTGACTTTGGAAATGTTAGTATAAAAGTATAAATAAAAATCAGTGTGAATTAGAAGGAACAGAATTTTGAGTCAGGTCTGATTCTCATTTCCAGCTCTGGATGATTTAGCTGGTAAGATAATTAACCCATTTTACCTTTAGTTTCCTCATCTGAAAGATAGGACTAGTAATGTCTACTATGCAGGCTTATTATGAGTATTAAACATGATCATAACAAATTCTGGAAACATCAAGTTTTCAACAATTATCATCATTATTGTTTCTATTATTATTATCTTAACAGCTGCCTATTAAAATTTATTGAGCTAAAATATAACTACTTATTCTAAGTATGTTGATTAGCCATTAAATAAATTTTATAGTTTTGATTAAAGTGAAACATAAACAAATATAATAAGTAAATACCTTAAATTTGAGATTTCAATTCTAGAAATTAGAGGATTTTTATTTTCCTTTTGATTAACATCTATTTAAGTTTGGGTACAATTCAGGAAAATTTTACATATGTTAGGGCTCAGTACACAATACCCCAAAGAATGGTACTTTGGCAAGCTGAGTACTTTGAACTAAAGGGCATTGGAAGGGCCTCAGAAGAAAGGTCTCTCTGACCTCCTGCCCTTATGTTTCCCTACCACATGATAACCAAAATTTCATTGAAACTCGAACTCTTCTCTCCCTAAAAAAGTCATAATACAAAGAAAGGTCACGCTCTACCTACTCTTTTCACCTGCCCCATGCCTGGGGGTGGGGGTGGGGAATATTACACAGAGAGGCCATAAAGAATCTGAGCAACCAGGCTTTTCTGGGTTCTCCCCCTTAGTCTGTTATTGGGTCATATACTTCTCCCATATTCTTTTCAACACAGCTTTCCATGATTCATAGAATCTAAGCACAAAAATGGATAGTTCTGGGGATGGAGCTCAGTAGTACAGCGCTTGCCTAAAACTTTGATTAAATAAATTTATGCTTTTCCCTTAACCTAACCTTTGTTGTACAAGTGTTGCACGTCTCTCTGCCCTTACACATACTAACGAAAAAGGTCTGTGGTTTATAGTCTGTTAACAACCAAATGTGAATCTAGTTTAGTCATAAGAACTGTTCAAAATTATTTGACTTTAAGTTTAAAGTAGAGGACAGATAACAAAGACACTACTTCTAAAGATTTTGAAGAGAGAAAATCCATGGTATCTATTAAGGTATTATTCAAGGCACGTCTCAAGAACTGTTAAAATTACTTTAAGAATGAAAATCTGAGGAACTGTGAAAGGCATTTGGATTGTGTTTTAAATCAGTTCAAGCCCCTACTTTATCTCAGTACTGAACATCTAAAATAATATGTATCAAAGAGTTAATTCTTTTCACAACTGAAATAAAACACCTGTCATTGTAAAGTGTGTACATTAGTTTTATAAGTCTGCTATAACAAAGTACCATAGAGTGAGCAGCTTAAACAGAAATTTATTTTGTCTTAGTTCTGAAGTTTAAAAGACAGAGAACAAGGAATCAGCAAGGTTAATTTCTTCTGAAGTTCTGCTCATTTCACTGTAAGTAGCAATCTTCCCTGTGTCACATGGTTTTCACTCTGTTTTTTGTCCTAATTCCTTTTTTTATAAGGATACCAGTATAATGAATTAAGGACCTAAGCTAATAACCTTATTATAACTTAGTTATCTTGTTAAAGACTCTTTCCAATTCTGATATAAGAGATTAGAACTTTGACATGTAAATTTCCAGAGGACATATTTCAGTCAATAACATTATGAAATGCTAATACTTTATGTATATATGCGACTACATGACCAATATGATTCTGTAACATGTACACTCAGAAAAATGAGAAATTATACCCTATCTATGTATGATTTATCAAAGTGCATTCTACTGTCATGTATAACTAATTAAAATTATTAAAAAATAAAAAATTATTAAAAATTAAAGTAATATGCTTATCTACTTCATTTCTAATATATACAAATATTGTTTGCATCTTGCTACTGTCTTTTAAATCAATTTTGAATAAGCTTCATATATATCCTTTTAAAATAAAGATATTCAACCAGGAGGAATTAAAGCACAACCAATACAACTACATTAGGTTAATAAAAAAAGTGGCAAATTAGTATCTTAATTTGACACACACTCCAATGAAAATAATTTCTCTTGATTTTCTAGGTCTTAAAGTAGATTCTGGATCTATCAGTCATTTATGGTAGTTAGAATGAAATGATAGATTACTATTGGATTTTTATTCTAGAGCAATAAACAGTAACATTACATGTTCATATAAACAAAAATTATACAAAACCTGGCAAACAAAAATATTGTTTTGAAACAAGCATAAACTATATGAAATCTTGGCTTAGTAGTACAGATAATTTCAGTTATTCCTTTTACTTTAAGATAAATGAACATGAACATTTCTTGTTTTCAGTTACTATATTTGTTGTAGGGGATAGAGGAAGCAGGGCACGGAAGATAGCAGGGATCAGTTTTATTTGGCTGCAGCCAGGTTCGGGTACAGCTTTCACTGTAATCAATTAATCCCCTGAATCCGGAGTTCAGGCAGTTTCAGAACTTTATACTCGGCATGTAAGAGGAGGGGCTCAGAAGTTCACAATCTGCAGAAGTTCATACATAAGCAGCTTTTTCTTTCACTGTTTTGGGCAAGTTAACCCTTCAAGGACAGTGCCTGAGAAGGGGAGAACTTCTTCTCCCCTACCCACCCCTCCCAGCTGTTACCACGGAGCCCAATTGGTAACTTAGAAACTTAGACATCTCAGTGAAGTTCCAGCTCAAGGCCAGAGGCCTTGTTAAAAGATTTGTCTTTTTAAAATCACATTTGCATTTGCAAACACACTTCTACAAACTACTATATTGGATAAATGTTTGTGAAAAACTAGTAAAGGGGTGGCATTCAGCACCTGGAGTGCTGATTTCTTCTAGGCCAGTGGCCAAGTAAAATAGAGCAACAGGAAAATAGGAAGTTTATCTACATTGAACTCTTTTGTAGAGGCTCTTTTGCTGATAGTCCTAAAATCAATTACTGTAAAGATTTCTAGAGAAGTTTAGTTAAGATTTTCTGTGGAGGAGGGAGTGCCACTACTTGTTAATCCGATATGTGCCATTCAGAAACAATGAGGTGACATCCTTTGTTATCTGACTATATACCAAGTGTTAAATGTACAGGGAAATCACATCATCTGCTATAAATCACTAGATTTCCTACAAGTCAATTCACAGATACAACAAAAATAAGTACCTACATTAAAATTTTTATTTACATATTGCCATACTAGTGACTGTTGTATTCTACTATCTTTCCTATCCTCTACTATCCCCGCTCTCCTCCCCCCCCATCTTCTATTTCTACCCCATCTACTGTAATTCATTTCTCTCCCATGATTTTTTTTTTTTCATCCGATGTGATTCTGCAATCTGTATACGGGGTAAAAATGGGAGTTCATAACCCACTTGAATCAAATGTATGAAATATGATCTGTCAAGAGCTTTGTAATGTTTTGAACAACCAATAAAAAAATAAAAAATAAAAAAATAAAATTTTTATTTACATACATGTTCATTTCCAGTGTAATGTAAGTATTAAAGATTTATAAAATATAAAATCAATCCAGTATTGTCCAATGAGAGTCAATTACAAGACTAAATAATTTAAAGATCATTTTAATTATAATACTCAAAAATGTTAATACAATTGAGCCCAATTCATTGAATTTGATAATAATGTATTTATAGAAAAAAATATGACTAAGTATAACATTATAAAGCTAAATGTTAAGATTTGTTTATTTGTGGGGAGGCATAGGGGATTGAACTCAGGGGCACTTGACCACTAAGCCACATCCTTAGACCTTTTTTATATTTTATTTAGAGACAGGGTCTCACTGAATTCTTAGTGCCTTGCTTTTGCTGAAGCTGGCTTTTAACTTGCTGCAATCCTCCTGCCTGAGCCTCCCAAGTCACTGGGATTACAGGCATGCACCCCCGGCACCAAGCTAAATGTTAAGATTTTAAAACAGCATTTTACCATCAATGAAAGGCAAGCTGTATTTTGACTACAGGGTTGACAACAGTCTTACTAAATAAAAAGCTGTACTAAATCATATGGCAAATTTTTATATAAAATGGGATAAACTATGCATATTTTCAAGTACAAAATGGTAAATATACTGGAAGTGTAAGAGCTCTAATTATGCTCCATTTTTTGGTCCAAATATTGTAAATCTGTACGTTTGTTGTAAAGTAGCACAGAGTCTCATCATGACCCATTTTAAACTTAAACTGCTCAGTTACAATTAATAAGCACATATCATCTAAATTCTGTTAACTTCAACTGTTTTCAACACTCTCCATTTTGTCTTTGAAAATATTTTAGTCTATGTCAATGGAATCATAGTGTTTACACATTTATATCACTAACATTGATTTTTTTAACCCCATTTTGGCAAGCCAATGATTTTGAATTATGAATTTAAATTAAGAATTCACATAAGGTTTAAGTTCATGAGCCCTCGTTTTAAAATATAATCCTTTATGTTAAAATTCAGATTTAACTTGCTCAGCTCAATATCTTAAAGATTAGACTACCTTCTGTAATGTCTGCTCCGATATTTCTTTCCCATTCTTCTCTGGAGTACTCTTCTTGACCCCATCATCTTCATGGTATCTAAAGACTTGTTCTGGACAAGAATAAATAATATATTATGGTGCTTGTACATTGCAGAAACACTGTCCTATCATTTTAAGAAAAACTGTTCTGTGGTTTTTCAATTATGAATAATCGAATATATTTTTTTGTTAAGTATTTGGCCAGGAACTAAATAGTGATCTTTTTCAAGATTTTCAGTCACACAATTATATGTCTTTGTAGTGTCACTTTTTTTTTTCTGTAGTGTTAAGATTTTCAAAAGTACAATAGATCTGCAGGTTAACAATGCTATACTTTTATTCCCATTTTCATTCTTTTGTAGACTATTCCCCCTTTGCCTTAAAAGCAGAATTCATTGCCTTTTTATCTACACAGTCACTACTAGTTTTGTTCTCTGAATCTTGTTCCCTGCCAGGAGGATCAGAGTGATTGCTGAACAAAGCAAATAGTAACAGAATTAGGGTGGACTGAAACTGTAACACCCCTACTAAAACCTTTTGTTCAAGTGAAGGATCCATGAGCTTGGCATGGTAAATCATAAAAATCATGTTTCCAGAAAAACTATGACTTCAAAATAAACAGAAACCTAAGTATATATATTAAGTTCTTCTACAAGTCATTTCCATGCTGGTTATGCAACTAACTACCAAAAACCTTTTGAACTAAGCAAAAATATGCAAGTAACTAAACAACTTCAAAGGAAAAAAATGATAAATTTTCTGTTAATATTACTAAAAAGTGAAATTTACTAAAACCTGTAACATTTTTCTTATCAGATAAAATGTAGTCACAAATTGAATATGTTCTTAATGTATTATTCTTGAAACATAACATTTCTTAAAGAACAAAAAAGGGGCCAAAAGAATACACAAAAGCTGAAAGGATACATATCTGCGTTCGCCTGAGATGATTTTGCTTTAAAGTATGCTTGACTACTGTAGGTCAGTGTAAAACTTTGATTAATCAACAAAGGAAAAAGAAAACAATATTATTCTCTGTAGAGTAGAAATCCTCTTGGTATAAACAGTGACTAACAAGTTTGTTAGAGTGAATTAGGCATTTCTTTTGTCTTTGAAACATGACATACCCAATTAAAACTTCTGTACTCATGAAATAAATAGAACACTATCCTAAGGATAATAAAAGCTAGAATAGGTAGAATTTGCTATCTGGGGAATAAGTACCTTTACCTTGATAATAATCTATCCATTCCCAAGTTTCTTTTACTAGTCCCTTAACAACACGGTACTGAATTCATTTAAAATACTCTTTAAAAAATAAATAAATAATATGCAAATACAACTCATCTGTTCTAGTCATTTAAATATGTTACAGTTCTGAGTGAAATATTTACTCTTAAAAATAAGTTCTATAGTCAAAGAGCATAGAGTGCTAACAATGGCTAAATAACGCTAATAAAAATAAATGCTAAAAATTGATTAAATAAAATTCTCTGATGCTTTTTTGCCCCAGGTATATGTAAGACCCCCTGATAAACTGGATAAATGTATTCACCTGAGGTTTACTGTTGAAAAATTGTTTTGTTTTTGCCCTCAAAGTTTTTATAAAGAACATTCAAGCAGTTAGGCCCAGGGCATAGAAAGAAACAAGGAACCAATTCTTTTGTGTTCATTATCTTATCTTCAAAGATCTTGGAATTTGGGAAATGAACTAAGAGAAAGTAGCTAGAAACATATACTTTCTTTTTTTTTTAAGACAATGGGTGTTAGTATGATCTCACTTCACAGGAGGTTTATTTTTAAGATTTTAGTTGTAAATATTTAAATCTACTATAGAAATTCATTCTGATTTGTAATATTTCTTAGGTGTTTCTTCTCCCTCCATCTTTTTAACTTTTAATATGTATAGTTTAAACTTATTCTATTTTCTATATTCCTATTTTAATACTCTTGGCTTACTATAGGAGTCAAGAGAACTTCTTCCACACCCTCTGAAGGTTTGAGTCTTTAATTCTGTTGACATAAACTGACAATAGATTCACAGGTCAAAAGGTACACCATTTTGCTAATGCCCACATGGGTACAGGAACAAAATATGAACACTAAAAGAAAGGGTAGCTGGTTCAAGCTTCAATACTCTCTCACTAGGGGAGAAGGAAATGGAAGAAGATATTAAAAAAAAAATTAAAGAGCTAAGTAAATGATTTTTTAGGAAGGTAAATGGGCCTGAAGAATAGACAATAGACTTCGACAAAGTGAGGGGTTGAACAGCACTAACAACAATAATTGTCTTATCATGCAAATAAAAACTCTTTCACATGATAATCATCAGAGTAATAAATGATGTCTTTGGTACAAAACAGTGGACACCTTTTAGTCTTCTTTTCTGTGAGTTAGTCTTTGTGGTTAATGAGATTTAGAAAGGGAGTCCAAGACAAGTGCTTTTCTTTTGGAAAATTTCCCTTTAGTCCAATAGGGAACTTCAGAAAGAGCTTCTCCCTGAGCTAGGGTGACAGAAACAAGGAAAGTTAGAGAGACCTTGATTCTAAGACTGTTTCGAAGGCCTTCCAATTTTCCTTCATTCAAAGTGCTTGGCATGACAAAGCATCATACTTTGAGATACTATTTTCTGAGCCCCGTGACTACATTAAATAACTAAATTCCTCTGCAAATTTTAACTGCTTATTCTCCATTCAGATTCTTTTAACTATACTAACACATTATTTTAAAAACCTATTAGCATAATTTTTTTCCTGATCTTGATATGATGCTTCCTACACATACTTTCTTAAAAGTCTATTAGCCAGTATACCAATTTGTGAGATTAGAAAAGAAGAATAAGTATTAATTTGTGTATGAACAATTTCCCAAAGAATAATGCTATTTCATTTTTAAGAAAAGCAAAATAACAGTTTTAGTATAGAAGTACTTATAATACAATAAAACTATGTATGTTTGATTTTGCCTAGAGTTCCTGAAGCAGAGCTTCTAAAACCTTTAAAATTTCCTGATTGATCAAAGGAGCATCTTTTATTATTCATGAAAAGCTCCTTTCAACCATACCAGAATTCACGCTAATCAAACAATTCTTGGTGTATTCCTATATAACTTCAGGATAGGGGGTGGTGGCCAGAGAAATTCATCATGTGATCAGAAAGCTGGAATTTTCAGACCCACTGTCAGATTTCTGTAGAGGGAAGAAGAAGGGCTGGAGATTGGATTCAATCATCAATGGCCAATGATTTAACCAATCATGCCTAGGTAACAGAACCTCCATTAAAAGACCTAACAATGGGTTTCAATGTGTTCAATGGTAAACACATCTAGGTCTTGGGAGGGTGGCAAATCCATAAAAGGCATGAAAGAATTGTGCCCTTCCTCCATACCTTGCCCTAGACATCTCTTCTATTTGACTATTTCTAAGTCAAATACCACATAAAAATCTGTTTAGTAGTAAATAAAGTCTTTTTCCGAGCCACTCTAATAAATTATCAAATCTGCAGAAGTGATTATGGGAACCGCCAACTTAAAGTTGGCTGGTCAGAAAAACACAAATGGAAATCTGGGATTTGCCAATGGGCATCTGAAGTAAGAAAAGTCTTTTGGAACTGAAACCTTAACCTGGAAGTCTGCACTGACTGAAAGTAGTGTTAGAATTGAAGGAAGGAGGAAACATCCCATTTAATTACTGTCAGAAGCTTGGGGAAAATCAGCTCAATCAGTACAATTTCAGAAAAATGAATTAGGAATAAACATGTAATAATCAGTTAGACCTGCCTTACAAAAAAACTTTTATGTTTTGTTAAATGCTGTCTTACATAAGATAGATTTACTGATCATAATTTGAACCTCTCTTCTCTGAAAAGTGACCATAAGTCAATAAAAAATAAAGTCCCATTTCTCTTGGAGGAAAGCAAGAAATCAATTGCTTTTGGTGGATAGGACAGAATCTTTAGTCATTTCATATGACTACTACTATTAATATGTGGCATATCTTCCTTGAGATTCAACCTATGCCCTTTGACTTTATCTCAGAAGTCTTGGGAAGAATTTATTCAATCAGTTAAGTTAAAAGAGAAGTAGATCATTTCTGTTACCAGTCACAAGTATTCTGAAGAGGATGCTGCCAGGACAATCAAAGCAAATTTTTCTATGAAGAAATGTGGGGAGATGGAAGAATGAGTAATTTTTGTTTGCTTGTTTATTATATTTTTGCATTTTCTTCATTGTAAACTATACCTAGCACATAGGTTTCTTGGCCTTAAAAATGTCTTTAATCAGGGATCCTTGATCTCATTAATTCACAAGGTTGGGTTATAAATATTTGAGTATGCTATATTCAGTTCCTTTACCTTGTAATACCCTCCTCTTAATTTTATGCTATTTCTTAAGCCCATAATTTGAAAATAATTTTAATATTTTAAACTATTTTTTTCTACTTTCAAGTGTTTGACTACATTTTAATCCTTATTTTTACATTTAAATGAATTAGCTTTGGGAAGTTTAATATTTGAATTGGTGTTTATAATTTAATATAACAAATTATTTCTGCTAATTTACTTTTGTTGCAACTGATTTTAGCATTTCCCTATATTCCTGATATTAATTCTCTTATTTCTTTAAAAAAAATTCTTCATCTTAAATTTACTACTTTCATAGTTTGTTTCATTTGTTATTTTATCTATATTTCTTTTTTTTAATTTGTTCTGTTTAGTTATATACATGACAGTAGAATGTGTGTTTACGTATCATCCATACATGGAATATAATTTCCCATTCTTGTGGTTGTACCTGATATATAGTTACACTGATTGTGTATTCGTATATGAACATAGGAAAGTTATGTCTCATTCATTCTATTGTCTTTCCCATTCCCACCCCTCTTCCTTTCCCTCAATTCCCCCATCCCAATCTGGTGAACCTACTTTATTTATATTCTTAATGCAACAAGTAGAAGGAAGCTTGATCTCAAGTGTAATATTAGCAATCCAAAAACTTATATATAGATTATGTAAAATTATATTAATGTGATTAAAATTAATATATATATATTTATATATGTAAAGTATAT